CCAGAGAATGGCACCTCTTTTAGACAGACTAAAATCTAGCCATATGGAGAACGCCGGGTCGTTTCTTACCAGAGAAGCGTGAAATAGCAGGTGTATTCTTGCATGAAAGCTACCATACATGGGTCAAAGGTCACGTCTGACATTTGGTACTGTTTTTCATGAAAATAAGAGGTAGGACGAACACATTTATTAAAATATAGGTTGTTATGATGACCTATGGAAATTATTTAATAGTTTGAGATGGATACTCGGGACAAATTTATTTGAGACTTTATAATCAATTTTGACGTTCTTAGTAATCTAGAAATTGAATTATAGAAGACCTTACCAATGACAGTAGTCCATGTGCCTTTAACCGTGGTAGACTAATCATGATTTATCACATACCGTGTGGTTCTTAACTTCGCGGTATGAACACACTATCACTTGGACCATGTCCACATCAATTTTCAAGTTCCTGCGTTAAGTTTAAAATCGAGTTATCGAAGATCTTATCAATGCCAATAGGCAATATTACCTGTAAACGCGGGGAAAGTCATGATTTATCAGAGACATGAGTTCTCACTGACCTTGCAGTATGAACACACGCTCATTACGGCTTAAACCAGATTCATATAAGCTCTTGGGTAAAGTTATCTAAATTGAGTTATCGAAGACCTTTTTTCAATGCCAATGGTCGATATTAGATTAAACCAAGGAGTTACTCCGGTGGACTAATCATGATTTATCACATACCGTGTGGGTTTTAACCTCGCGGTATGAACACACACACTCTCACTATGCATACTTGGACAATCCTGGGAGAGTACGGAAATGTGACGAATGTGATAGCCGTGACGAATGCTTCCAAAAAACAATGTTATCGAGTGACAACAACAACAGGTGGATTCAGACTAACACGAATCATCGCGAAATTTCATTTCGAGAAGTTTCGACATGAGATCTTGAGATTTTAAGCATAAACTGGCCTTCTCAAGTTCTCACCAAAACTACACCTGGACGAACGCGATTGGAGCTTAATGCCTGTCACGTGGACACGCGGTTAATCACGTGACCTATTTGTGGTATAGTCCGCCACGCAAGGGCAGGCGTATTTGTATTGCAGGTATATGGGATTTACCCAAATTACACCAATAGTAGACAACTGGTATGGAACTTTTACAATTTAAAGGCCATGTGCATGTTTGAATTCAGTCTCAGTGATAAGGAGGTAGAGGGTGACATTTTCATGTTTTGGATATACATGTGTGTAGCAAATAATCCAAGACATCACTTATGATACAAGGCCGTATATGTCATAATAATTCATATGGCATTATGGCAGAAGTTACAAAGGTCAGAAAAGCCGGAGGTTAATTAGATCACAACTAGAAATCTAGATAATTAATTTTCCCGTCCTCGCTTTTTATGGAGATAAGATTACCAGTCTGCGTTGGCTTAGGCATCTTACAAATCCAAGATATCTGACGAAAGTTTTCTCACATTTCTTAGATGTGTACATATAGGCATTCACTATTTAAGACATGCGAGTAGTGAGAAATCATCTCAGATATTCCCTGCCATATCATAATCAATTCGCCCCAAGTCCAACTCGGCTCGTTCATGACTCTTTCAAGGACATCAGTGATCCCTAGCTGTGTCAAGAATCCGCAGGTGATTATGTGAGGATATTATTTATAGAGAACCAAGTTCGTCAACACTCGAGACACAAGAGAAAAACAAGAGAGTGGTGTTATTTCTGGAGGCCAGAACATTGGCGAAGAATTTTACCTATGTTAAAGGTCGTGTTTAAGGTATGTTTCTTTCACAAGTTTTTAAAAAAGTCACGATATGCTGGATTACACTGTGTTTTGCCATCTGCGAGTCCATGTTATGAGGCAGCTAAGATGTTTGAAAAAGATCACGTGATCTAATTGTGATATAATCTGCCAAAATATTTAAAAGTTATATTTGGGTGTTTGTATTGCAAAGAGTGTAGACCTCGACTTGACAACTTGTAGTGAACTTGAGATATTTGATATTCATGATGTGTGAGTAGTCTGTAGTCCTGCCATTTCATTGTCGATTCCCCCCAAGTGTAAACTCATTCATGACTGGCCTAAGGACATTTGTCATTTATAGCTGTGTCAAAAATCCGCAGGTCATTATGTGAGAATATTATTTATAGAGAACCAAGTTCGTCAACGCTTGAGACACAAGAGTAATACAAGAGAAAAAATAAGAGAGTGGTGTTATTTCTTGAGACCAGAACATTGGCAAAGTATGTTGTGCATGTTTGGAGGTGGTGATAGCATGGTCATACTATTAGTACATGTAGGTCCATTGTCATAGCTAGTTAATTAGGCATTCTACAACCGAGAAATTGTTCATGTTGGTACTAAATTATTATCTTCGAAATCATGCAAGTGCACCGCATTTGTCAATTTTTCGTGAAAATATTCTGTAAAGGTCGTTACCAGCAAACACAAAACAATACAATAACGACAACAAACAACAACAAAAAAGTGTTTTGTAGGTATCTAACACATCACTGTAAAATGTTGATAGATGAATTCATTATCTACTTTTTTTATTCTTGGATTATCAAACACCACATAATATTTTAAAGTTTGTCTGCTCAGTCTCTTCTCAGTCATTAATTTGTTTAAACGTCCATCTGCCCATCAGCTGTGTCAATCCCGCGACTAAGTTGTCATTGCGTTCATTAATTCGAATATTTCATGCACTGTTCTGATAAAAGTTAAGTTATCACAGCTGAATTAATTAGATCACCCTTCTAATCTGGAATGAATTCGAGTTGCCTTGGAAGTCCTCTTGTCTTAATTAAATCACTGTCCTCTGTCTGCAACATCAATTTAATCAGTTTGTGAAAATCAGATACGGAAATTGTGTGTCAGTGCCGCACATCCGTTCTCGTCCACATTGGTTGAAGAAAATGATTATACTCTGTTAATACATTTTGGTCTGGATTGACCTTTTGATAACATTTTTAAAAATAATTTGACCCATAAATTAAAAAAGGAATTTTCCTGTCTTCAAATTGAGCTAGGATAAGACCTACATTCGTTACATTGTTTGCCAGTGTAAATGCCATAAAAGTAGTATTTCAAAGCATGTTGGAAATTTCGGCAATATGGAATTGCATGTGTCTTCGAAACAAAAATCAATTAGCAGACAAAAATCGACAAGTGGTTCTCATATATACAGATAGGCCTAAATTAACTTTTCCTAATCAATACACGTATATTGATAAATCGTAATTCGTGTGCCCTCTGATAGGATCCGGAGCTAAAAGTGAGCCCTTGATTGCTCTTCAGTCGCCATTTTAACTCTCCACCACTACATTAGCTGGTCAGTTGTAACTTGACAGTTGGAGATCGAGCTAAGCGATGAGTTGATATCTTAATTAGATTGTACAATCTCTCTCTACCGATCGCTGCCACACGTGTCAAACAGGCTGGGTTTGGTAGTCTCGAAGCTCACACTCTGCATGATGGCTTGTTGCCTCTTCCTTTATTACTAGTATATTTATGTGCAGTTAAAAGGGATAACTCTTGCTTTATTATAGCTACTAGTTCTCATAAGATTGCCATTTAAAAAAAATGCAATTTTGGCTCCATTTGTTCGCTCGTTCATAAGAAAAGCGAAATGTATGCTAAGATATAAACAAGAATATAAGTGTTTATTGCATTACATTTGATTGTGAAACAAGACAATTTCATTCAAGATATCGATTAAAAGATGAATATGCGTCTGGAATGGATAGACTATCAAAATGACAGTCGGAATGGGGGTAATGAACTTACCCCGTCGCTGGGATGAACGATCGCCTTAATGAACCGTGTGACTTTTAGTTTTTCGGTCATTTGAACGATTTTCCCTGTCATTATCCGAGATTTTTGCCCTCCATCCTGCCTCATGAATGGATCCGCAGAGATGATTCATTTTTCTTGTTCATAACATGCTACAGATATCTTCATCGGTGGTGTAGGATGGTTGCAGATTTTGAGGGGCACTGGCATTATAGAGGAACCGCTCTTAGTCGGTGATCAAAATGCATTATAAAAGCACTTATATTAGGAGGAAGGGTCTGATCATCATCGTTAATCATCCCTTTCCACAGTCTTCTTTTCCTTTCCCCTCTCCACCTTTTCACCAAGGAAAGGGGGCAACTGCCTAATGTCTTCCCCGTATCTACGCCCCTCACTGAGTCGTATCTGTAATGAAGATTATCTGTGGAAAGTGTTTGCATTGTAACGATTGGAGCGAGGTTGGATGTATGTGGTTATGGGGGAGGGGGTTACGTGTCCGCATGAGTGGTGATGATGATGTTGATGGTTTTGAAGATGATGGAGGGGGCAGACGTTTTCATAGCGGTGACATTGCTTGTGGCAAAATGATGATGCAGATGTTTCCAATGAAAGATGAAGCATGGTAAAAAGAACGATGAAATTAATACAGAAAATCGGCGTAAAGGAGAAAAGTGGACACAGAGGACACATATTCATGTCATAGGAGTGTTTTATAATGCAGATACATGAGCGACACCTCTTTGTTTGTCACATGGTTATTCGATTATTTTTACCCGACTGAGAGATTTTTCGTCCGATGTTTTGTAAACAGTGTTCAAAAGAGGGTAAAATTACCCCAATTAGGCAGAAACCTGACGACTCTTATTTATAGTTGAGTCTTCATAGACTAATGTAATATATTACACTAAGAGTGTACATTCTCAATAATGTTGCCTTGTCTTAGAACTTTGTGATAGTACATTCGAATTCGTCTTATAACATTTTTAAGTGATAATTATTGTCACATTTCTACTTGCGTTTGTTGCCTGTAGAGAAAATTAGTTTCTTTGAGTGGTTTAAAACACATGTGTAAAAGAAATGTGAAGGAAGGGTAGTTGCTTTGTGGTTGATTGGAGAATAAATGTATGGGTCCTCAGTAAAAACAAAATATAGGGCCTATACAAGTGCAAGCAAGCAAGACGTCTAATTATGTTTCATGACGTTATTCTTGTTTTTTACACTGATTTACATTACTCTTTCTTCCATAACAGCTGCGAGACAAGACCAGGACCCTCCTTCCTCACCCGCCGTTACAAGTTCCACTCGGACCACAGCTTCACCTTCTACCAGTTCTACTACTCGGACAACCAGTGCCAGTCCCCGGCCTACTCCTACCGGGTCAGGGGTCAACTGACCATCGGAGGACTGACCTTTACCCTCGATGGGGCGAACGAAGCCCTGTACGAGTTGGAGAAGGTGACCTTGACGGTGTTCCAGGATAGATTCGCCATGAAGCTGGCGCAGCAGCTCAATGGAAGCTGTCCGGGGATGCTGGAACCGAACCAGCCGCTTGCGATCTTCAGGTACGAGGATAAGTTGATATTATAGAATACTTTAAAGCCCCACTGCAGCTACTTGCGCCCTCTATATAGCAAACAATGTCCAAGCGGTGCCCATTGGTCCCCCATGATCCTCTTTTTCTTATGTTAAGTGAGAGCTGATTTGATGAGATAACCACCTGCCAGTGACCTTGCAGGGTGGTCTAATCCCTCCTGGAAACTAGTACAGATTGGATTAAACAGTTGATTAGTATCTTGGCATAAACCGTAAATACAACATAATCTGCCGCTTGTGACGAAGCTGCAGATTGTTGTGTTGTTAAGTGTAACGAGCCCCGATTGACTGTTGAGAAACTATTTCCACTAAGAATCTTTGGTGACAAATTAACCAATTCACCTGTTATGATTGTTATGATAACATCTAGATGGATAGAGCACAGGCCTCTGGAAAGTCAAATATTTTTTTCTTTAAGAAGTACATGTTCATTCATGTCGAAAAGTTTTCTAACAACATTGTTATGTTTAGTTATGTTTTAGGCATGTTAACATAGAGTTAGTCATTAGCACTTAATCTGGTTCAATTTCAGAGTTAAGCTACTCAATCAATCTACTTGTACATGTAGTTACCGTTTTCTATTTCACGACTCGTCTTTTCCATGTTGTCAGAAAGTACATCGTATTGGATAATTCACGAGACGTCGTGCAGATAGACTGCACACCGGGTCTAGGATTCACCATGAACGAGCTCCAGCTGATACGACAGGAGGTTTACGAGAGACGGGTGGAGGACACCGGGACAGTTCGAAGGTCTGAGACCCTCTACCTAGGAGACATCCACACCGATCCTGCACAGATGATTATCCACAGATCGAAAGGTTACCAGACGCCGTTGAGGAAATATGATGATGATAGTGAGGTAAGCATGGTAAGATTTTTTATAACATCTTCACCCTTTTCGTAGGTTGACAGCATCGTTTCCCTCAAGAATCTGTTCTCTACAAATCATGACTTGTTGTACTCTCTGATAGTCTGAGTCCATTCCACGTCTGTCTCTGTTACCTAGTTGGTTGTTGTCTTTGCTCTTGGAGTAGTACCCTCTTCTTAAACCTTCCTACTCTTTGATACATCCTTCCAGAATGTGTGATGTCTTTTGAGGACTTTAATGTCTTTTATATTGTGACTAAGATGTGAGAATGATGCTAAAACCATTAATAATGAACGTAAACAAACAGTAGTATTGCAACTTCATTGCTGATGGTCACGTCAAAGGCTGTTTGGATGGACAAGAATGACCACTATGACATGGCAGCGGATAAAGCTGTCAAAGGTGATCTCCTGTTTTGTTTTGTATGGGGACGGTGAATAATGATGTTGCTCTCCTTCGGATAGGACGTGAAATGAATCTCATTCTTTTTGTTCTGGTGAACGTATCTCTTGCTATAGGTTGGATAACGCTTGTTATTTGTCAATTCTTTACCGTGGCTATTCTTTAGTCATCGCTTTACAACATTTTTTTTCTCCTTACAATTCCAATCGCAACTTTCCCTTTGGGCTATCCTGTATATCACTGAATCCTGGTTGTCTTCTTTGTTATATATTTTTATTTAAAAATCATGTGGGTTGAACCATATCTAAACTTGTCTGTTTCTCAGAATCATGGGAGAATCGTTGAGACAAGGCGCGCAATCTTGGGTTGAATTGAAGAAACAATCACATTTAAAATATGTCAAACACGGCATACTGTCAACAATTCTAATCGAATAGACGTGAATATCAAATGCACCGTATTCAACCACGCGATATGAAACGTGAAACTCTATTCTTTTGATTATGAAGATGTTTAAGCATCCATCATCTTCTTCGATGGTTTCTCTGTGGACCTCGTCAACGCCATCATAACTCAATCTCGGTGCCGAGATTTGATTTTGGCGTTGTTGTTTCAGTCGTTGCGTGGTAGACGTATAATACGATCACGACCGAGCCTAAGCCTCCTATATGAATACATAATGCTACGGATCATCAACTCTATCAATTCTTTAATATTCCCTCTTCTCTCCTCTGACGTACGACGTAATTCCTTTCTCATATGTAGGTTCTTCTCTCTCTCTCTCTCTCTCTCTCTCTCTCTCTGGCATTCCTCCTTGTCTTTCTATCATATCTCTCTCTCATTCTTTTTAAAATTCGAATTGTATTTCTTCTGACGATCAGATATTTTCCTTCTCTCCTCGCAATATTACAATCTCCCCGTTGTTTCCCTCTCACCCCCTCTCCTTTTCTCTCTCTGTATTGAACTTTATCTCTCTATATATATAATTGTCATCCTTCTTTTGCCTTTCCTATTTCACGAACCTTATAATTCTTTATTTGTTTTTCATAGTTAAGATTTATTATAATTTTTTTTTTTAATTTCCAATCTTGTTCCTCCTCTTTCAAAACAGCATAAGCGTTGATACTAAGTTGTTGATATTCTTCTTTTGTTCTCTCACCCTCCTTTCCTTGTATTAGTTAATCATTATGCACTATTCAATTTTCCCGTTTAATTTATTATCGTTCATTGGAAATATATATTATTTTCACTAGATGTACCCAACTACTCATCTTTCGTCAGTTCCTTACTCCTCTACACTCTATACCCGTTCTTCTTCTTTCTTTCTTTCTCCTTCCTTCTTTCTTCGTTGCCAGCCTCCCTCTTCCATTCCTCTGTCATCTCCTCAACGTACTCTCTCTATCTCTCCCTCACAATTTCTTTGTGTCTCATTCTTCGTGGCAAGCACTCCACACTTTCTTCCCATTCTTCATATACGTTTCTTTTTCTGGAGAGCTGATATCAGATTGCATCGTGCGCCCTGCCAGTCTTACGTGCCGTCCATACTAAGTAGGGGGGTAATCCCAAACTACACAGAAAAATGCGTTCACATTAGAGTTTATCCGTTTCGTAATGATGATTATTTTGTTTAGGTGAGAAGAAGAGATATTCACGTTTCACCAATGTTTATACTTTTAGTTAGTTAGATAGTGGTTTGTCCTCTATTATGAAAAAATAAAAAAGAACACATTAAAAATGTCATTTGTAAACAGTGTTTTTTATTAGTTATACCTGTTGTTCTTTGGTACCATGTGACTTTGCCTAAAATACATAGACAGCAATGAGTTAATATATATTCATATTCTACAGAACTTTTCAAGATTTTGTAGGTGCATTGTAAAATTATCAAGAAAGCTACTATACATCTCGCGTACAATGAGATCTTTTTGTTTAAGATGCTTCATTGATCTCTTTGTTCATTCATGACAAACCTCCATAACATCTTCGGGACCGTTAACTTGTTAATGTTGAGTTCACACCGTCTTTGACAAGCTCACAGCCATCTGAACACGTTGTTTCATAAATTCACAGTTTCCTCGGAACATTAATATCATGACAGGTTCAGCGCTAATACTCAATATCCACTATTTAATTACACGGTGTTTTTCTGTCTTTTCCTCGCTTCCCTGCCTGGCCCCCGGGTCAGGGAAGAGCGCGGCGGGTTTCGGACAATCCTTTTCACTCTGTTTTTAGTGCATCGATACTACTTGAAGCAGCATGTAAAGCCGGATCTGCTTTGGAGGGTCGCCAGATATGGAAATGGAGACTTAAGTATTCGACTTGCTGGGATGGCCGATGATTTTATTTTGTTGAGAGTTAAAAGAATGCAATGTTCAATATTTTTACCACTCGAGACGGTAGAGAATGTGAGAGCATGAATGATAATCTATATTTTGTTTTTCAGCTTAAAGGATTGAACTTCACGATGAGGGTGTACACGTGACGGAACATGCTTCTCATGTTTAAATGAATGATTTTATTCTGCACATGAATGGGTAAAGAATTGTTTCATTGATCTCAGATGTTTTGAATTGTCTGATTATGGAAAACAACTTTGTACCTTGTTTACACTCAATTTATTTCCATAACTTACCAAAGAGTATACCACTCCCCGTAATAACGTAAATTATACTTCTGTACTTAAAGTCCGCACTCTCCAAAAGTTGGTAGGCTGTTCCAGCAAGGCGCCATTTTACAATTGTGCGCATAAAGCCTAATCGAAACCACAACGATGATCGCCTCCTACGAGATACCCATACACCTGGATAGAGAGAAACGGTACACATTGCGTCAGGGTAGGGTTGAGGCTGTGGTTTCCAACAAATACGTAGGATTAGGGTAACGTGGTTAATGATCATCAACGATAATCATGTCGTAGGTAAAAATGTTGTCAATTCACTTTTAAAGACTTAAAAACCTTCTTATGAGGGAGCTGACGTAAAGAGTACCAAAGCTGTGACATCATAAAAACATATTTTTAGAATGGGTCGTAATGTTAAGAACCAGAGCAATATAACACTGAGCTCCTATAGGAAATCTTTTTATTCAAATGGTCACATCTCAGCCAATACTTAACATATTCAGTTGGTTTTCGACATTCGGTCATTATTTTTATGCTCTTTTGGAAAAATGAAGGACAAATTGAGAAATTCGAAAAATAGATTTTTGATGAAGTCACACTTCACCACTCTATAAGCCTGAAATCAATAAAGGTTTATCAATAAACTGTTTCATTTCAACCGTAATAATGACGGTTAACAATATCTCACTGAGTAAACATAAAGACAGATTGTCTGTCCGCCATCTTGAGGCGAGATGACTCAAGTGTTTTGACTGTCCATCTCCTTGGGCTTGAAGAAGAGTCACTCACCCACTAAAGAAGTCACCAATACAATCTTCCTCTAACCCAAAGGCAAAAGAGAGATAGAAGATGATACGGAATATCATAGTGATCTTATTGACATGGAGATAAGAGAGAAAGAGAGTGAGAAAGAAAGAGAAAGAGAAAGAAAGAGAGAATTTATTAATACATGTACTTCGTGAAGATTGACCCTCTTGTCAATAAAGGCCCCAGGAGTGGGGTATCCCTCTTTCTGGTCGATGAGTATTAGGATGACTTCACGTGGTTTGTGGTCAAGGTTACCTTGCTGTCATGGTAGCCGAAGATGCTTTCCAGTGCCATTGACTAGAAGATAGAGAAGGAAAAGGTGAAAGAGAAAGAGAGAGATGGAGAATATGCGAAAGAGATGGGATAAGAAAATTTATTTATACTTTCTGAGAGGAGGATGACCCCCTTATCAATAAAGACTCCAGGAGCTGGGCATTCCTCTCTCTGGTCGATAAAAGTTTGGATGATTTCATGAGCTTGGTGGTCAAAGTAATCTGGTAGTCAGGGTTACCGAGGATGGCTTCTCGTGTCATCCATCTGAATGTGAATGAAAGTTCAACGGTCACGATTTAGTTAACACAGAAAGGCATTATGGTCTTCTTGACCAGAAGATAAAAGAGAGAGGGAAGGAAAGGATGAGAGAGAGAGAGAGAGGGAGGGGGAGAGAGGGAGAGAGAGAGACACACACACACGCAGAGAGAGAGAGAGAGAGAGAGAGGAGAAAAAAGGAAAGAAAGAGAGAATATATTAATATGTATAGAGGAGGATGACCCTCTTGTCAGTAAAGGCCCAAGGAGTGGGGTATTCCTCCCTCTGGTCGATTACTACTAGGATGACTTTACATGGTTTGTGGTCAAGGTAACCCTGTTGTCATGGTAACCGAATATGCCTTTCAAGTACATGTATAACCTTTGAATTTCTTTTTTTCTCTTTAATAATACGTACTAGAAGGTGACAAACTGTATTCAATAAAACCTTGATTTGTTTTAAGTGTGAATTTACATACCTGGTAATGAATTGATCAAAAGTATCCAATTATTAGGCTTTAGAACAACAAATATTTATTTATCAGTGAACAGAAATGCATATCAAGCAAAAAAATGTTGATTAGCGACAAGAGATGAACTTTTCAGCAGAATTACACGATTAAATTGCATGACGC